GCAATGTTTTGTAGCTTTCAGTGTACATATCACCTCCTTGGTTAAATTCATTCCTAAGTATTTCATTCTCTTTGATGCTATTGTGAATAGAATTATCTTAATTTCCTTTTTAGATTTTGCGACATGCAACTAATTTTTGTATGTATGTTGATTTTGTATCCTACAACTTTGCTAAATTTGTGTATTTGTTCTAACAGACTTTATTTGTGTATGTGTGTGTGTGTAATATCATTTCCCATGTTGACAATGTTAAGTGATGTCAACTCGTAATTAGTAGCACAACTTTTCATTTAGGAATACAAACAGTCTTTTTCATTTGTATGTATACTTTCCTTCTGTGATAATACGTCCAGATATAAAAAATAGGGAAGGGGGACCTTCAGATGGCATAAAGATGATGTTGTTGGACTCCCACACAGTCGACTGCGGTTCAAGTCCTGGACTTGGTGAAAAACTCACACTGTGTGCGTGTGTGTGTACATGCCCAACACCCCATGACAAGAATGGAGGAAAAGGGACTATGGTGTGGCCATCCCCCGTGGGGGGTGATTTATTTCTGTCTCTCTGTCTCTCCAGCTAGTGCATGCACTTTATAGCAAAAAACCCTCTAAGAAAAAAATAATAATAATGGGAAAGGGTGCTGGAAGGTCCCTGACTAGTGGACTTGCTAAATTTGGTTAAATTTATTTCTTTTATACAATGAGCAAAAGGCATGAACATTTTACCAAACAGGGTATCTAAAAGATAATAAAAGTAACCCAAACCATTGAATAAGAGCAAGCTTCCCAAAATGGTTCTGCTAGAACACTAGTTCTTAAATATATTATGAAGGGAAAAAATTGGTTCTTTACTTGTAAAAGCTTAGAAAAGGATAAAACTCAGATATTTTTCTTGAATGCTTATAATGCACACAAATATTGAGGCTTTTAACTAATCCTGCCAAATAAAAATACCTTTGCTTTTAACCTCATTTTTCTAAAGTTTGTCATGGATCTCTGTGTTTTTAGTGCCATATACAATTGTGGCATAGCTATGGGCAATCCCATTTTGTTTCCACTCTAATCAAACATCTTAGTTTTAAATGCCACTTTCTCTATTGAAAGGTCTTATGCATTTGTTTATATGAAAGTGTTTTTCATATTGGTAATACAGTTTTGTAACATTGAAAATAGAATCATGAAAGATGAAAGGTTTTCCTTTTATTCTTAGTTATTCTGTGGTTATTAACAAATTTGACATCAATATGATGAGCATGCATTTGCGTAGTTTTTCCTTCTTTTCCCTTAAAAGACCCTTGCATTATGCAAACTTTATTTTCTCCTTAGGCTGCTAAATTCACTTTATAACATTTGGAAGTTCTTTTCTCTACTATGAATACTTTCTCACTATTCATAGAAAACTTTTCTCATTCTAGTGCTCACCTCTCCTCAGAATAATCTTAGGCTCTTCCTTCTACTCCAATTATTCCATTTTGTTTTTATTTTTCTCTTTTGTATTTTGAAACTGAACCAGAAACCAAATCTGAGAACTTCTGAGGTGAAGGTCAGAAGCATTTTTAGTAGGGATGGGGAAGGATGGGGAAGTCTTTTTTGGGAGGTGGGGGCAATTTATAGTATCACACAAATTAGTAGATACTGGATGAGATGACTCACACTTACTTTCAGTTTCTAATGATGAAAAAGTTGTGTCTGCCTTTCTTTCTTCCCTTCTTTCTTCCCTCCTTTCTTTCTTTCTTTCTTTCTTTCTTTCTTTCTTTCTTTCTTCTTCTTCCTTTCTTTTTTTTCTTGAGAGATTTTTGCTATAGAGTGTGTGTGCTCACTAGAGAGTCAAAGAGAGAAAGAGATAAAACAAGAAAGCACCCACACAATGGTTGGCCATGTGAGAGTCTAGCACCTCAACCACCATGCCACCTGCCTGCCCCAAGAGTTGTGATATTCACACTGGTGTGAAACTTTTACTTACATTTCAAAAATGACCTTGTTTACTTGATATGCTGTCATCTTTTATTGTGTTTTGCACAGGAACTAAAATTAGTTTCTACTTGATTCTTTGGATATAATATTGCGAAGGAGTGTTTGCCAAACACAGTATCTGGAGTAAGTTGAAATGTGTCAGCCATCACAACAGGTACTTTCTGTTTGGGAAAATTACTGCTCTTTCTCTTTCTTTCTTTCTTTTTTTTTTTTTTTAGTGCGATTATCGGTATCTCTAAATACGTGTGGACTAATGTTTATGCACTGAGAGTCACTGTGATTTTGTGCCAGTCTATGCCTCGTACTCTGAAATGCAGGCTGTTCCTTTTCTTGAGGGCTGCCAATCAGTTCAACTTGTGAAAATAAACCACTGCCAACCTCCAGACACTGGGTTATTTTTAAAATGACTTCTTAAAACATGTATAGTTGGTGATGGAGTGTTTTTCATTCCAGGTAAACCTGTAAGCTTGGCTTAAGACCATAAGGAATCGAAGTATTAGAAGGTAAGTCTGGTGTTTCAGGTGTTTCTACGTAACCTAAAATCTCAATGTAATTCGATTCAATGAAGGAAGTCTTAACTCATCTGGAACTGTGCTTCGAATACATAGCTATTAGCCATTTGTGACAAGGGACCCAACAGTAAACCAAGTTAGGTAGGTAGTTCCTCGTCACGCTAGACTCACGTCAAGGGCTCGGTAATCAGACTTGCTAGTGGCTCCTGTACTGAGCACCACAGATGATAAACTATTTCCAT